CTTTCCCTGGGTTAATTGTAACTATGATAAATAATTACAATAACATCACCCCTTCATGAAAGCTCATCTCATTAAAATAAGACCATGTGAAATTTACATCACAGCACCTCTCCCTATAAAATTAATCCTGCTTTAATAGTGCTACATTTACTATGTTAAACATGTTACATAATGTGATGAGTCGCTGTCATGACTCTGCCAGGGAAGTGGTTGTGATAAGCAGGGTGAAGAGCTGTGTGTCCCCCTATAGTGAAAGGGATGCATCATACACAGTTGAAGTCAGAAGGTTACACACACTTAGGTTGATGTCATTAAAACAGATTTAAATCACTCCATAGATGTCATGTTAACAAACTCTAGTTTTGGCAAGCTGGTTGGGACGTGTACTTTATGCATGCACAGTTGTTCAGAGATGGTGAAATAATCTATATCACAATCCCAGTGGGTCAGAAGTTTACATACACTCAGTTGGCTGTGCCTTTAAGCAGCTTGAAGAATCCTAGAAAATGATGTCATGACTTTAGAAGCTTCTGATTAGCTAATTAATATAATTTGAGTCAGTAGGAGGTGCACCTGTAGATGTATTTTAAGATCTACCTTTAAACTCGGTACCTCTTTGTTTGATATCATGGGAAAATCAAAAGAAATCAGCCAAGACCTCAGGAAAAAAAAAACTGTTAACCTCCACAAGTCTGGTTCATCCTTGGGAGCAATTTCCAAATGCCTGAAGGTAACACAGTCATCTCTACTGGAGGAATGGACTAAAATTCCAGCAACTTATTGTAAGAAGCTACTGGAAGGCATCCCGAAACCTTTAACCCAAGTTAACCAATTTATAGGCAATGATACTTCGTACTAACTGAGTGTATATAAAATTCTGACCCACTGGGAATGTGATGAATGAAATAAACGGTGAAATAAATCCTTTACTATTTGACATTTCACATTCTTAAAGCAGCGGTCCTAACTGACCTAAGACAGGAAGTGTTTATAGGATTAAATATCAGAAGTTGTGAAAAACAGTTTGTATTTGGATAAGGTGTATGTAAACTACTGATTTCAACTGCACATCCAGTGAACTTCTAATTTCAAGCTCAGGAAGCTGCTGCAGTTACACACCATTCAGTGCAAAAATGTATTCCACTTGTGCTAGACAGTGCCAAGAAGACACTCAGAGACATGGAAGAGTTTGTGTCTGCAGATTGCTGTGTCACCAGAGATCTCTGCATAGACTTTCTCTCCTCGAGAGCCTCCCTCCTCTGTCCTTTGTCACGTGCTTCCCCTCTCCAATAGAGCAGCTGTTGCTAGTGCAACGGTTTTGTGATATGATACAGTCCAGCCGCTGCATGGAAGTGTCTCTTTGTGTGTCTGTATGAGTTTGCTTCAGGTGATGTTTTGGCTTTTGGCATAGCCTGTACACACACCCGTGGGCATACAGTGTGTGCGCATGGGCAAGAGCCACAGTATACTGTGGTCGATGTCCGATGATGTATGCACAGCAGTTGGAGCATCTTCTGTTTGCTGACAGCACACTCTAGGCTTTGCCGCTTTGTTGCTGAGGAAGAAGTGTATTTATGAGGAGATGTTGAAGGGTGAACAAGGAGGGAATGGGGGAGGAGTAAGGGATGGGAGGGAGACGGGGAGAAATGTGAGCATGTCAACGTGAGAGAGGGAGGTAGATGCGCATGCAGAAGGTGGAGCTTAGCATCAGGCACTTCCCTCTGTCTTCCTTTCTCTCCTGCCTTCTCTTCTTGCAGTTTCCCCCATCCACTCGCTACACTTTGAAAAGGCACATCTGCAGTCATTTCATCAATTTTGTTTTCCTTCAGTTATAATTCAGCTCACTTGGGTGGACTGCTGCTTTTGTTTGTACCTTGGGCTAGCCTTCTCTTAGCGGTGCAACAGGGGCTGTCTTCAGATACCAGCGTGCTCTCTCGCTTTGCTTTGCGAGAATTGGGGGGGTTGATGGGGTGGGTTGCTTAATGAGTGTTGTTCCATAGCACCTCTTGAGAAGGGTGAACAATCAAAAAGTCGGGGGGAGAGAGGGACGGCAGGCAGAGGGGTTTGGAGTGGAAGAGTGGTGGAGCAGCTCCGGCTGTGAGGAGAATGGTTATGCCGGGTCCTCATGCTCTGCTTGTGCTGCTGCTCCAAAGGCTGTGTGACATTCAGGTACAGCCCTGCCTCTGCTCGACATGAGCCTCGCAGGAAGGGTGTCCTGCTCCATGCTCAACTGCTTTGTAAGTCCACAGGCTTATATTTTGGTGTTCATTTCGTTTGTAACTGCGGTTTGTGATGACTGTGTGTTAAAGCCCTACCCTCCGCACTTCACCTTCTTGTGTGTGCCTGCCTGCCAGTCAGTGGGGGGTAGGGAGTGTTGGTCGACACACGTGAGCGCTGCAGTTATTAAGTAAATGACACCGACTCCACATACAAATAATTAAATTACCTCAGTGTGTTCCCATGTGTGCTGATGAGAAACTATTGCTGTCATTACTCCTGTTGTACGGAGGGCTGCCGGCATATTGATTAGCAGGGGAGGAGAGCATGACGTTTAAAACCTGTTTGCCACTGAGAGTGAGCATATTTTGTACTCAGTAATGCACCCTGTCATTGTCTTGAGATAGAGTGGTGAGAAGGTTGAAGATTAAGGAACAACATGGGGCAGCCTTAGTCTCATGTATTTGGGCCTAAATTAGCTCATGGTTCACAAGTTGACCTTTCAGCGATGCCCACTGTCTGAGTATGTTAATTGTTAACTTTCAGTAAGTCTTTTCTTCAACTCCACAGTAAATTCTTTACCATTGACCTGCCTCTCATACTATTAGTACACAAAACAAGTCAAATATTTACCAAGTTTTACCAAACTTGGTAAAAACACCACGAAGTTTAACTCGGGCACACAGTTGATCTTGCAGAAATGTTCTCATGGATTTTCTAAGGCTGACAAAACTAGCATCTAATAACTGGACCAGGATTTTTTTTATTTTAAATTATGGTACAAAATACCCCTTCAGATCTTGTCATTAGGTTGAAATGAAACTTTTTATGGTTACAAAATGTTTTTAAAACGGAGACATAGTCTCGTCTACAGTCATGCATGCTAGTTCTTCTGAAGCTGTGGTGCTTTGTGCTAAATGCTACAGTCCAACATGCTCATAGTTTTAACATCCTGATGTACAGCTGAGGCTGTTATTAGTTTTGTGGGTGTTTATTTGTAAACCAAAAATTTTGATCTCTCAGAAGCAGTAGGTGAAATATTAGGTGGTCACCAAAGGGTTTATCTTCAGGGCAACGTGAATTTATGTAGAACATTCCATGGATATTTGTCAGATAGGTGCAGAGATAATTCAGTTTGAACCAAAATGGTGGACTGACTGACACACTGACATTACTATCCCAGGATGCACATTGCTAACATGACTAAAAGGATAAGACAGCAGCAGTAATGTAGCAATAGGCAGTGAATGCTGTTTAATAGAAATCAGTTAAAATAATCACTACCAGCAAAACCATTAAGATTTTTTCTCCTTCACAACAGTCACTATACAGATTCAGGACACTTAGTTAGCTTGTGCAACTAAGATTTTTCAAAAACAACAGATGTTTCTATTAATGGGAAATCTATACATATTTAACTAAAGCACTGTAAAGTAATCTGCTGGATCAGGGAGAGTTTATGGTTCCTCATCTGTTCTGTGATCACACTTGGCCTGATACTAGACAATTTATGACCTCTCTTCAATATCTCTGTAGTGCCACTGAGTCGGCAGTTCTTCTGCATCAATATCTCTTTAATTTAGTGTCCACGTTCTGTGTTATTTGAGTGGATCATAGCTTTGTCAGTCTTCTCATGTGGAAGAGGGCCTTAGCATCGTGCCAAGTCTTCATCATTGCCACCATTGTGATTCAGCTGTGGGGGAAAAACAATTGCTTTTTGAATATGTCATGTTTATCCCCCTCTGTGATATGTTGTCTGCACCAAATGGAACCACAAAAAGCCTTTATTGAGTTGGTTATGATTCTTCCATGGCTCAGATTCACTTATATCCACCAGCTAAATGAATCAGTGTAAGTGCAGGAAAAAGCTTTTTGGGGTGTGCTTTAGTATCTTTGTCTTATTTCGCACCCTCTTTGGTACCTGCAAGCATCTGGCATTGGACCACCAAGGCATTAAACATAAAAAGGTGCACAGGTGACGCAAGGTGAATCCCAGTCCCCCTAATTACAGCCACGTTTCCTTCACTTGCATCTTTTCCTTACGTCTTAGCCCCCCACCACCCCCCAAAGTGAGATGCAAGCAAATGATGCAAAGAGAAACTGTGAGGAGAGAGGAGCTGAGGAAAAACGTTTTAACTGACTTGAGACGTCCTTACCTCTGGTCCTTATGTGAAGCATCCAGTCACCGACTGAGTTCCGATAAAGGGGCACGTCAATCCATAACAGCAAAGGATACACTCATGTATCCTCGGTTATAGACCCTCCAGACAACCTCCTTGGTCCTCAGAGCAGAAAATAAGAGCTTTGGGTTGTCCTTCATCATGGTGGACTGGAACAACTTCTGGGTCAAGCAAGGACTGAGGAGCATGACCTTTCCTCAATCCTCGCTTCACCCAGAAGTCGTTCGTCGAGTGAGAATCGAGGATGACCCAAGACTCTTATTCTTGCTCTGAGGAGCGAGGAGGCTGCCTGGAAGAGCCATAAGCAAGAATAAAAGAAAGAGCCTGCCCCCATGAGAGAAATCATTTGGTGATTAGAGGCTTCAGATTAAAGATTGGCAGAAATGACGTCTCATGTCTCTAAAAATGTGTTTCCTTGTAATCTCTCCTCGCTTTTTTTTTTTTGCACATTTTACGTGGGCAGGACTAAGACACAAGGAAAAAACAAGTGAAAGAAATGTGGATGCATATAAGAGACATGAGATGTAGCATGACCAACCAGAAAGAACTAAAAGTATCCAAATGACAGTTGCATTATTTAAAGGGATCACTGGCACTTTATGCTGTTTTCTCTTTGGATTCACATTAATATATCACTTTGAGTTATTTTGTTGATCAAGCTTGTTTGCAGTAGTGCTCATTCTATTGTTTTGCATTTAGTTTAGTTATTCATTTTAGTTTTTGCTTTGAATGTTCCAGATGAAACCCTGCACCTCAGCTCTCAGAGTACAGCCCAGTTATAAGCCTAAAAAGGAACTGATCATTTAGAAAACGGTCGTCTATGAAATATTAACATAGTCAGAGAGAGGACTGTGAGAACAGGTCTTTTTAAAAGATTCATCATACTCTGTCATGTTTGATCTTGACCTCTTACTTAGACTGCATTGTCTGCCTCTTTTAACATAATGAAACTGCAAATAACTGAACACTTAAAAGCAGACCTAAGTGCATGTTGCCCACATGGTTGGGAGGTCAACTCCACTTCATGTAGCTTTAATTTGCACAACTACAGGACAAAGCCCTAGTCAGATTAAGTAAATAATCTGGTGAGGAAGGACAGCAAATTGTTTCCTAAATCTTCAGTGAGAAAAGGGACTCTAAAAGAGGTTGTATCCATGGCAACAGGACACTTATTCATGAAGACTGTGCTGGTGCCTTTTCCAGTCCCTCTACCTATTCTGTGTTTGTGTTGCCATGCTGCCTTGTTTTGTTCGTTGTTCCATTCACACACATGCAGAAATCCCTGGTAGAGTGTTATTTGCACATGCTTTCCCCAGATAATTAAAATCTCAATAGTGTTTTTCTTTCCTAACCTCCACATACATATTACCTACCTGCCCTGTTAGGGCTCTCTATGCAGATGGTAGCTGATAACACGCACTGTTACTGCAGTGCATGTTATCAAGACATTACATGTACTATCAGCACTAACATTTATATTTGATAAATGCATAGAGGTGTGTATATATGCGCATGTCTGTCTTGCAGAGGGAGGGTGCACAGGCTCACAGCAGTGACGAAGCAAAAACGTGTCGAGCACAGGACAAGCTGTACTCCATCTTTTAGTTGCTTCAAAGTGAGAGCATTTCTTTTTACCTTTAGTCTTCTGTAAGATGATTGTCTGGTTGTGGACCAAAAAGTGACTCACTTCATGTGTTTGCAAGTATAGTGACAGGGTTTTAAGGTCAGTCATAGTCATGTGCTGTCTTCCATGCAAAGTGACTTATGAAACTGAAATATCAAGGTTGTCTGCAGGAGAGCGTTCCTACTAACTTAGCTACTCTGGTGTTTATACTTTCTCTCTTTTACTTTACATGACATTATCTTTTTCTTTCATTGTCTAATCAGACTTGTCAGGTAAACAGTTTGGAGTGTAGTATCTTATGCTTGGACCTAATGCAGTATAGTGTCTGTGTGTATAGTGTGTACCCTGGGGCAATACAACAGCTACACAACTTTTTGTCAGATGTTTTTTTTTTACCTTTAAAGTACACCGTGTTCTAGCAGGTCTCTTCAGAGGAATGCACCGTCAGGAGTGCTCCATAAGAGAAGTCACTAAATGGTGCCAAGTATCCACCAGGTAGTGTAGCACAAGGCATAATGGAACCAAGGAAGCTGATGGATTATTGACGTAGGCTGTGTGTGCAAGTGTGTCTGTGTAAAGATTGACTGCATAGTCCTCTCCACCGATTGACTTTGGATTTCTTATGATAACTTATCCAGTAATTTATGACTGCTCTCCAACACATCACTGTAAAATGTAATCCCTTAGAAAAGCAAATAAGTCTGTACCTGGATGGCAAGCTGGTGGCCCAGCAATAGTGTGTGAGACAGCCTGCACTGACCTGACCCCCACAGGATGTCTCTGACTGATGGCACTGTCATGATCCACCCACTCTCGAGTGAAAATAAGTAAAACTGATGATGCACAGCAGCCTCATTATTCTAATGCCAGGGGCTGGCTCAGGTCAGAAGTTAAGAGATTAGTGGCTCTGGGATTTGGAGTCTGAAATTGAGGCTCTTAACCACTGACTGGAGCATCTCCTCAGAACGATGCAGTTTCAGTTTTAAATGCAATATTTTACAGGGAGATTTAGTGGTTCCTGTTATGCTGCACAGCAGCTTCACCTTCAGTGTGTCTGAGATGGCAACACAGCATTAGCATGAACATAAAGGGATGATTTGGAGGAAATGGAGCCCACAGTAATACCAGACAGCACTTAGCATTGCAGCATCTTTTAAGAAGTGTACATACAGTATCTCAGTTTGGCACAGACTTCACACCCACTTCCATAGCCACCACAAGTTGTGCCATTTGTTGTAATTCATGGTGCAGAAGTAGCGGGTAGACTAGATTTGTGTAGTGAGTGACTTAACGTATTAATCTATTCCATACATAGATTTCCCATACCCACTATATAACCAGGCAGCACAAATACAGCAGCAGGAACCTCTAAGATCTCGACACCTGTGTGCTGTGCCCTCTCTATACTGTAATTATTTTCATTATTGATTAGCCTGTCAAATCAATTGTTTTTATGGTTAATCATTTTGTTTATAATTGCCCTTTTATTGTCTCAGAGCCAGAGTTTCTTGTTTTTCCTGGCCAACACTCCAAAGTACCCAAATATATTGAGTTTACTAGGACAAAAGAAAAGAAAAGCATTAAATCCTCACATTTAAAAAGTTGGAACAAGCAAAAAAAGAGGTTTTCCTTGATAAATGATTATTCAGTTACAGCTCCTTGATTTCATCACCCAGAACAGGCTGAATCATTGTTTGATTTGATTACAGTAAGAAGGTGAAGTTATACCTATTTGGATTTCAAACATTCATCACTAAGTTATTATTTGAAATGGCTGAATGTGAAGGTGGGGTGCCGTTGTTTTGAAAATTTAAAAACTGTCAGATGTAAGCAATTTTCTTTATTGCTGAGTTTGTAGACTTTAGCCATGAGTTTGGCCTTTATCAAAGTTGTGACATAGAAATAGTTGAATAATGATTTACCATTCCTGTGATCTCGCTGTTTGGTGGTGACTTGCAGGGGGAGGGGTGTCACTGGAGGAACACTATCTCCATCTTTTACCAGTCTGCCCAGTGGGTAGGATGCTCATGGACCTTTGCATGACAGACAGTGTTTATAAACAAAGCAGGAGGCCTACATTCCCAGACATCAGAGGGTTTTCCCCACTTGTAATGTTTCATTATTTTTCTTTGGCCTTAGGCCTGGGACACAAGACAAGAACAACCCAACTCAATGGGTGTGGTCCACTGAAACAAACCACAGATTACTGCATTTTGCCTCCCTCTGGTCACCCATCAGGAGACTCCAATTCTGTTTTCATTAAGTAACAGTATCAACATACAGTCATCACACATAAATCATGTCAAGAATATGATTAAAAAAGGGCAAGTGTGAAACCCAGATTACAAGTCTATATACTGTATAAATGCACTATAAATACCTTGTATAAAAAATACCTTAAGGCAAGGTGAATGTTAATTAACAGTCTAAAATCACCATGAATTTCTATGTCCTTCAATTTTATCCTTTGGTTATTTTGAACCCCTTTATCTCTAGTGACTGAAGTGTGACCTAATGAAAGTGATGGCTCAGTCAGTGAGGGCATTGGCACCAAAAGCTACAAGGATAAGGTCAACTGCCCTCTTTGTTTTTCTCTCACTCTTCTCTGCTGCTTCTTGAGGTGTTGCAGTCTTAGCCAGCCATGCTTTATAACAGGTGTGCAGGTAATAAGACTACATTAGAATGTTTAATTTATCAGCAGCCTTAAAAATGTGACATTAAATTAGTTGGCATGATCACAGAAATGATTGGACATCACAAGTGATCCAAACTAGCAACAAGAGCACCAAGAGATCGCATGCACCGCCACCAAGGCACAACATTCGCTCACGAAAATGGGTCCTATATGAAAAATGATATCCAGAACAACACAAAATGTGTCCTAAAATCCTTGGTCCGGATCGCATCGGGACCATCTTTTACGGTATGATAGGCAGTTATACTGTGCATTTCAGGTTATCTTCATTATAGGCCAAGTTATGTGTTAAACTGGGTTTTCAATGTTAACATTAAATGGCCATCAGATCCAGAATTCAGATTACATCCAGATGAAATGTCGTCTGGTGATAGGCATTGCCACCCTACAGATGTGTCTTATTTCAAACAAAAAATGATTTTGGTAACTTTTGATGGAGATACAAATTTTCTTTTATTTTGCCCCATGTTAACAATGGGAATATTTTTTTTGTGATCCCCAACCCCCTTATTTTTGTGACCTTGGCCTTTTTTAGACAAAATCTAATCTGTTCTATGGTTGGTCCCCACCACTGTCTGTACCAAGTATGCTGATGGTCCATCCAGCCATTTGTCCGTAATCCTGCCACCCAACAAACACACATATGGAACCAAAAACATAATCTCCTTGGCGGAGGTGTTTACACTCAAGTCAGTGCTGGTGCACAATTTGTGAAAAACTTGTCAAGTGCATGAAATATGTTATTAAGTCCCAATAACTTTGTTTGCTTAAGACTAACACCCAGTCACCAAGTCTACAGGTGTCTGGCACCTTGTACCACGTTTTATAATTTGCACATGCAATAACTACTTGCACAGTGCTAAAGTAAACAAAATATAAATAAGTAGAGGTTGTATTTTTCAGTCATCAATAAGGGAAAATGCTGTTTAGAATTGAGTGGTATACATGTTAAAATAGCATGGCTCATTGACCTAACACAAGGTTCAGTTCAGTCAATATTTAATCTCTTATGTGATGGCTGTGACTTAGCTGGTGGGTGGTTGTGAAATCTCACCTGGCTTGTATCTTACACCAGAGGTTGACCATTCAGATACAACACAAGAGCACTGAGAATATTAAATTTGTGTTTGATATTTCTTTACTGTTTTTTGCAAAGGCCCTCAGTGTTCTTCTGACACTATCATTAAACTGTATAAGGTTAAGGGTTTGTGTGTTTGGATTTTTGTTTTCATTTAATGGTGTTCCATTCTGTTGTGTTGACCCAAATAATGCCAGAAGTGTTTAATGGACCACTTCTGCATTGTGTTTGAATCTGACAGGGTGAAGAGGGGCCTCCCAGTCTGGAATACATCAAGGCCAAGGACCTGTTCCCCCAGAAGGACCTGGTGAAGGAGGATGAAAGCCTTCAGGTGAGTCATGCAGTCTTCGTCAAGCCTTGACAACTACTGCTCCAGCGCCCAGTTGCTGCACACTCTCACCTTCTCTGACATCTAGCTACATGTCTGTCAAGCAGACAGTCAGAAG